CAGAGCCAGCAGGCGCTGGGGAGCCCTAGGGAGCGGGGAGCCTGGGGGGGAGAGCTGAGATGCCAGCTCAGTGGGGGTGGCTGAACCCTCGAGGAGAGGGGATTCTGGGGGAGCTCAGAGAGCTTGGAGACTGGCCGGCAGGTGGCCTGGGGAACAGGGTCCCTAACTCTCAGGCAGGCGACCTGGGGTAGGGATGGGGCGTGGGAGTGTGCGTGGCTTTGGGGTTTGCAGTCTGCTTCACTGGCTGCCGGTCCGGAGTGTGGTGGAAGGGATGGTCAACTTGGGACAGAAGAAAGGGAAACTGAGGCAGGATGTGCTGATTGGCTGCTTGCGGGTGCCCAGGGGAGGGAGGGCAGCCTATCCACAACACAGGGTCCAGGGCAGCCCATCCACAACACAGGGTCCTGCTGGCACTGCCGTGTTGTGAAGAGCAGTCCCTGCTGTAGATGCAGTTATACCAGTAGCAGGCACATCTGCCGGGAGAGCTTATTTGGCTTACGCCCTAGTGCCCCAGGCTCCTAGCCTAGGCCAGGCCTGGAGTAAGCCTGGTCTGAACCAGCCTCAGCATGTCTACACAGCCCTTTGCATTGGGTTGGCTGCTGGCTTGAAGTACCCCCTGCAGTTATGCTGGGCACGGAGCAGCTCTAACAAGGCCAGAACCTCTCTGGTCTGTCCCGGCTGCTCTCCTTGGCAGGGTTCAGGGTCTATCTGTGGCCCCAGAGTCCCTCACAATCTTTAATGTGTTTACCCTCCCGCCCCCCAGCGGGGCAGGGTCCCCACTGGGCGGATAGGAACGGAGGGGCTAACCAGAGCCAGGATTCGAACCCAAGACGCAGCGTGATGCCCTCCCTGTCTCAGAGCTACCCCCGAGCGGCCTGCCCTTTGGCAGGGAGGCAGCAGTGGTTCCCGGCTGGCCCGACCTCTGGCGGAAGTGAGCTCCCCGGTTGCCTGTAGGAGAAACCGGGGCCCGTTTCTCACTTGGAACCGAAAGGATCCAAAATTCCCTCCTTTCAGCCGCGGGGGCAGCTTGGTGCGGGTTTCGCTTTGGTATTCCTGCCTGTGGCCAGGCGCCCCAGCCGGGGCCGGGCGCTGCACAGATGCAGAGCAGGGAAAAAGGCAAATTGGGAGGCTCCTGCACAAAGCGTCTCCTGGCTTCCTCGGCCCTGCGGTGCTGACGTCCCACCCTCCCTCAGCACCTCGGGTCCGAGGAAGAGGGGAGCCCTCCGGGGATTCTCCCCCACCCTGGGCCCCGGGTCCGGTGCCCAGCAAAGGAGGGTGCGAGTGGGCACCTGACAGAGATGGGGGCAGGGGGCTGACATGCCGAGCCCCACACCGACCTGACAGAGATGGGGGCAGGGGGCTGACATGCCGAGCCCCACACCGACCTGACAGAGATGGGGGCAGGGGGCTGACATGCCGAGCCCCACACCGACCTGACAGAGATGGGGGCAGGGGGCTGACATGCCGAGCCCCACACCGACCTGACAGAGATGGGGGCAGGGGGCTGACATGCCGAGCCCCACACCGACCTGACAGAGATGGGGGCAGGGGGCTGACATGCCGAGCCCCACACCGACCTGACAGAGATGGGGGCAGGGGGCTGACATGCCGAGCCCCACACCGACCTGACAGAGATGGGGGCAGGGGGCTGACATGCCGAGCCCCACACCGACCTGACAGAGATGGGGGCAGGGGGCTGACATGCCGAGCCCCACACCGACCTGACAGAGATGGGGGCAGGGGGCTGACATGCCGAGCCCCACACCGACCTGACAGAGATGGGGGCAGGGGGCTGACATGCCGAGCCCCACACCGACCTGACAGAGATGGGGGCAGGGGGCTGACATGCCGAGCCCCACACCGACCTGACAGAGATGGGGGCAGGGGGCTGACATGCCGAGCCCCACACCGACCTGACAGAGATGGGGGCAGGGGGCTGACATGCCGAGCCCCACACCGACCTGACAGAGATGGGGGCAGGGGGCTGACATGCCGAGCCCCACACCGACCTGACAGAGATGGGGGCAGGGGGCTGACATGCCGAGCCCCACACCGACCTGACAGAGATGGGGGCAGGGGGCTGACATGCCGAGCCCCACACCGACCTGACAGAGATGGGGGCAGGGGGCTGACATGCCGAGCCCCACACCGACCTGACAGAGATGGGGGCAGGGGGCTGACATGCCGAGCCCCACACCGACCTGACAGAGATGGGGGCAGGGGGCTGACATGCCGAGCCCCACACCGACCTGACAGAGATGGGGGCAGGGGGCTGACATGCCGAGCCCCACACCGACCTGACAGAGATGGGGGCAGGGGGCTGACATGCCGAGCCCCACACCGACCTGACAGAGATGGGGGCAGGGGGCTGACATGCCGAGCCCCACACCGACCTGACAGAGATGGGGGCAGGGGGCTGACATGCCGAGCCCCACACCGACCTGACAGAGATGGGGGCAGGGGGCTGACATGCCGAGCCCCACACCGACCTGACAGAGATGGGGGCAGGGGGCTGACATGCCGAGCCCCACACCGACCTGACAGAGATGGGGGCAGGGGGCTGACATGCCGAGCCCCACACCGACCTGACAGAGATGGGGGCAGGGGGCTGACATGCCGAGCCCCACACCGACCTGACAGAGATGGGGGCAGGGGGCTGACATGCCGAGCCCCACACCGACCTGACAGAGATGGGGGCAGGGGGCTGACATGCCGAGCCCCACACCGACCTGACAGAGATGGGGGCAGGGGGCTGACATGCCGAGCCCCACACCGACCTGACAGAGATGGGGGCAGGGGGCTGACATGCCGAGCCCCACACCGACCTGACAGAGATGGGGGCAGGGGGCTGACATGCCGAGCCCCACACCGACCTGACAGAGATGGGGGCAGGGGGCTGACATGCCGAGCCCCACACCGACCTGACAGAGATGGGGGCAGGGGGCTGACATGCCGAGCCCCACACCGACCTGACAGAGATGGGGGCAGGGGGCTGACATGCCGAGCCCCACACCGACCTGACAGAGATGGGGGCAGGGGGCTGACATGCCGAGCCCCACACCGACCTGACAGAGATGGGGGCAGGGGGCTGACATGCCGAGCCCCACACCGACCTGACAGAGATGGGGGCAGGGGGCTGACATGCCGAGCCCCACACCGACCTGACAGAGATGGGGGCAGGGGGCTGACATGCCGAGCCCCACACCGACCTGACAGAGATGGGGGCAGGGGGCTGACATGCCGAGCCCCACACCGACCTGACAGAGATGGGGGCAGGGGGCTGACATGCCGAGCCCCACACCGACCTGACAGAGATGGGGGCAGGGGGCTGACATGCCGAGCCCCACACCGACCTGACAGAGATGGGGGCAGGGGGCTGACATGCCGAGCCCCACACCGACCTGACAGAGATGGGGGCAGGGGGCTGACATGCCGAGCCCCACACCGACCTGACAGAGATGGGGGCAGGGGGCTGACATGCCGAGCCCCACACCGACCTGACAGAGATGGGGGCAGGGGGCTGACATGCCGAGCCCCACACCGACCTGACAGAGATGGGGGCAGGGGGCTGACATGCCGAGCCCCACACCGACCTGACAGAGATGGGGGCAGGGGGCTGACATGCCGAGCCCCACACCGACCTGACAGAGATGGGGGCAGGGGGCTGACATGCCGAGCCCCACACCGACCTGACAGAGATGGGGGCAGGGGGCTGACATGCCGAGCCCCACACCGACCTGACAGAGATGGGGGCAGGGGGCTGACATGCCGAGCCCCACACCGACCTGACAGAGATGGGGGCAGGGGGCTGACATGCCGAGCCCCACACCGACCTGACAGAGATGGGGGCAGGGGGCTGACATGCCGAGCCCCACACCGACCTGACAGAGATGGGGGCAGGGGGCTGACATGCCGAGCCCCACACCGACCTGACAGAGATGGGGGCAGGGGGCTGACATGCCGAGCCCCACACCGACCTGACAGAGATGGGGGCAGGGGGCTGACATGCCGAGCCCCACACCGACCTGACAGAGATGGGGGCAGGGGGCTGACATGCCGAGCCCCACACCGACCTGACAGAGATGGGGGCAGGGGGCTGACATGCCGAGCCCCACACCGACCTGACAGAGATGGGGGCAGGGGGCTGACATGCCGAGCCCCACACCGACCTGACAGAGATGGGGGCAGGGGGCTGACATGCCGAGCCCCACACCGACCTGACAGAGATGGGGGCAGGGGGCTGACATGCCGAGCCCCACACCGACCTGACAGAGATGGGGGCAGGGGGCTGACATGCCGAGCCCCACACCGACCTGACAGAGATGGGGGCAGGGGGCTGACATGCCGAGCCCCACACCGACCTGACAGAGATGGGGGCAGGGGGCTGACATGCCGAGCCCCACACCGACCTGACAGAGATGGGGGCAGGGGGCTGACATGCCGAGCCCCACACCGACCTGACAGAGATGGGGGCAGGGGGCTGACATGCCGAGCCCCACACCGACCTGACAGAGATGGGGGCAGGGGGCTGACATGCCGAGCCCCACACCGACCTGACAGAGATGGGGGCAGGGGGCTGACATGCCGAGCCCCACACCGACCTGACAGAGATGGGGAATAGGGGGCTGACAGGCCGGGCCCCGCATTGACCCCGACAGGGATGGGAGATGGGGGGCTGACATGCCGAGCCCCACACCGACCTGACAGAGATGGGGGCAGGGGGCTGACAGGCCGAGCCCCACACCGACCTGACAGAGATGGGGGCAGGGGGCTGACAGGCCGAGCCCCACACCGACCTGACAGAGATGGGGGCAGGGGGCTGACAGGCCGAGCCCCACACCGACCTGACAGAGATGGGGGCAGGGGGCTGACAGGCCGAGCCCCACACCGACCTGACAGAGATGGGGGCAGGGGGCTGACAGGCCGAGCCCCACACCGACCTGACAGAGATGGGGGCAGGGGGCTGACAGGCCGAGCCCCACACCGACCTGACAGAGATGGGGGCAGGGGGCTGACAGGCCGAGCCCCACACCGACCTGACAGAGATGGGGGCAGGGGGCTGACAGGCCGAGCCCCACACCGACCTGACAGAGATGGGGGCAGGGGGCTGACAGGCCGAGCCCCACACCGACCTGACAGAGATGGGGGCAGGGGGCTGACAGGCCGAGCCCCACACCGACCTGACAGAGATGGGGGCAGGGGGCTGACAGGCCGAGCCCCACACCGACCTGACAGAGATGGGGGCAGGGGGCTGACAGGCCGAGCCCCACACCGACCTGACAGAGATGGGGGCAGGGGGCTGACAGGCCGAGCCCCACACCGACCTGACAGAGATGGGGGCAGGGGGCTGACAGGCCGAGCCCCACACCGACCTGACAGAGATGGGGGCAGGGGGCTGACAGGCCGAGCCCCACACCGACCTGACAGAGATGGGGGCAGGGGGCTGACAGGCCGAGCCCCACACCGACCTGACAGAGATGGGGGCAGGGGGCTGACAGGCCGAGCCCCACACCGACCTGACAGAGATGGGGGCAGGGGGCTGACAGGCCGAGCCCCACACCGACCTGACAGAGATGGGGGCAGGGGGCTGACAGGCCGAGCCCCACACCGACCTGACAGAGATGGGGGCAGGGGGCTGACAGGCCGAGCCCCACACCGACCTGACAGAGATGGGGGCAGGGGGCTGACAGGCCGAGCCCCACACCGACCTGACAGAGATGGGGGCAGGGGGCTGACAGGCCGAGCCCCACACCGACCTGACAGAGATGGGGGCAGGGGGCTGACAGGCCGAGCCCCACACCGACCTGACAGAGATGGGGGCAGGGGGCTGACAGGCCGAGCCCCACACCGACCTGACAGAGATGGGGGCAGGGGGCTGACAGGCCGAGCCCCACACCGACCTGACAGAGATGGGGGCAGGGGGCTGACAGGCCGAGCCCCACACCGACCTGACAGAGATGGGGGCAGGGGGCTGACAGGCCGAGCCCCACACCGACCTGACAGAGATGGGGGCAGGGGGCTGACAGGCCGAGCCCCACACCGACCTGACAGAGATGGGGGCAGGGGGCTGACAGGCCGAGCCCCACACCGACCTGACAGAGATGGGGGCAGGGGGCTGACAGGCCGAGCCCCACACCGACCTGACAGAGATGGGGGCAGGGGGCTGACAGGCCGAGCCCCACACCGACCTGACAGAGATGGGGGCAGGGGGCTGACAGGCCGAGCCCCACACCGACCTGACAGAGATGGGGGCAGGGGGCTGACAGGCCGAGCCCCACACCGACCTGACAGAGATGGGGGCAGGGGGCTGACAGGCCGAGCCCCACACCGACCTGACAGAGATGGGGGCAGGGGGCTGACAGGCCGAGTCCCACACCGCCCTGACAGAGATGGGAGATGGGGGGCTGACATGCCCCTGACGCTGCCCAGAGACACAGGCCGAGCCAGCGCTGCCCCCCAGGTAGCAGAGGGGCAGAGCAGAGTTCAGTGTTCGCTATGCACTGCTGCCATCGGATGGCAGGATGTGCTCGTCCCCTCCCTGCTCGGCTCGTGCTGGGCCCGGGCATCCCTCGCGCTGGGCTCCACGGGGCAGGCGTGTCCTGGGGGATGTGGGCTCTGACCGGGCCCCCCCTCTTCCCCAGGGAAAGTGAACGTGAAGGACGAGGAGCTGGACGAGATGCTGAAGGAGGGGAAGGGCCCCATCAACTTCACCGTCTTCCTCGCACTCTTTGGGGAGAAGCTGAATGGTGAGCAAGCCGAGGGGCG